AAAAGGTGTGGAGTACACTTGGTACAATGTACCAGGATAGGAAGATGCTCTATCCTTCACAGCCTCCCTGCATCTTTCTATCATGGGAATTGACAGATTGACAGATGTACGTATGCCTGGTGGGCACAAATAGCATTCGGCCAGTCCCATATTTAAGGTAGGCTTTTGGCACTGTATCCTCAATATAACTGGGTTAGCTGATCCACGACTTGCCTCCGTAGTTTTGCTACGGCTGGAAGTCCGGACGACGGTTGAGCGATATGGCTAGAACGAAGCAAACCGCAAATAAAAGTACCGGTGGAAATGCCCCCAGAAAGCATCTTGCTATAACAGCTAATCGCAAAACTGTCAAGTGTTGCTTTTGCATGGATTATATGTACATATGCCTATTGCAATTCGGTACTAGACCAGGGAAACCTCGTTGAGGAGAAACCTTGTGCGAACAAAATATAAAACCCAGTGGGAAAAAATAAAAGAACGCATTGGAGTAGGCATGCTTCATGCATTAGTGTTATTCTCGTACACTATACGGAAGACCGTTAAGCAGTCAGGGATTTCATCCTGAGCTTGGTCCTTAGTTCTCTGAACTGATGCTTATCTAGAGCTTTTGTAAAGATGTCAGCCACCATCTCTTTGGTATTGCAATAGGCGACGGAGAATTCGTGCCGCTCAACTTTTTCTTGTACGAAGCAATAGCGTACGTGTATATGTTTTGTTCGTCTGTGAAGTTCCGGATTATAGCAGATTTTGATGCAGCTCTGGTTATCCTCATAAATGGAGTTAGCTTGCATCGTAGCAAAACCTAACTCTTGGAGGAGCAGTTTGAGGAATATCATCTCTTGCATGCAGTGGCACAGGGCAATGTATTCTGCCTCTGTTGTTGATATAACCACAGTGTGGTGTTTGCGCGAAAGCCATGAAATTGGACTGCTAGCTAACATAGTCACATATCCACCGACAGAACGTCTCGTGTCGGGGCAGTTGGCATAGTCGGAGTCGCTGTAAGCGGTCAAGCTGTCGGCAAGATTGTCTGGTGTGGTGTCAAGTGATCCACCAAGGAGAAGACTATAGTCCTTCGTTCCTGAAAGGTACTTAAGACCTCTGACAACTGCCTTCCAGTGCTCCATTTCCGGATTAGCTAGGAATTGGTTGACCTCACGCATGTAGAATGCCATGTCAGGTCGTGTGCCTACCATGAGATACATGATACTACCAACGGCTTCGCGATACGGAAATTCTTTCATCGCATCTTTCTCTTCTTCACTGCTACGTTGGCTGCTTACGGAGAGTTTTACGTTCCGTTCTGCTGGTGTTGCAATTGGGTACAGAATATAGTCGCTGAAACGGTCAAGGACCTTCGTAGCGTACTTGTGCTGGTGGATAAATATCGTTCGGTTCTTACGGTCACGTTGAATGGACCAGCCGAGTAAGTACTTCACCTCCCCTAAATCTATCATGGAGAATCTCTTTTTCAGGGCTGATTTTAGCTCACTTACAAGGGCTGGAGTAGGCGCAATGATCAAAAGGTCATCAACGTACACCGCGATATAGCAGGTGACACCGTCAATAGTGCGTACGAATACACAACGATCCTTAATGAGCTTTGTAAACCCAAGATCTTCAAGAAAGGCGGACAACGTTTGGTACCAGACACGAGGAGCTTGTTTCAACCCGTACAGGCTCTTCAGGAGTTTGCACACGAGGTGTTCCTTACCCGGGATTTTGAAACCTTCCGGTTCAGCCATGTAGATCTCCTCCTCCAGAAAACCGTTAAGAAATGCCGTCTTGACATCCATTTGGTGGATTTCTAGATCGAGCAGGGCTGCGATCGTGAGAACGAGTCTAAGTACTTCCATCCTGATAACAGGTGAGAAAATTTCGTTGTAGTCAATGCCATGTTCCTGAAGGAAACCTTTGATCACCAGACGCGCTTTGAAGCGGTCAATTTCGCACTGTGCCGGTGTATTTGACAACAAATACCCATCGGCTGGTTAAAATCTTCCGTCCTTTCGGAGGAGATACCAAAACCCAAGTTTTATTATCCATGAGGGACTTGTATTCCGATTTGGCTGCTTTTTGCCACTGATTAGCGTGAGGGGATTTCATCGCACCTCGATACGTAGTGGGCTCTGTAACATACCGAATAGCTAGTAATGTGTACAGTAATGACCTGCGCTGCTTTTGCTCCTGTAAGTCTTCCTCAGAGTTGAGGGCTACATTCATGTCGACGGTGTCGAGATGGGGTTTCTTAGTCGTAGGAGAAGAAGGAGGATCAGATATCGTCTCCCCACAAAATGTGTAATGTGTGCGTTTAATAGCCTCCCTGAGTGGGAACAGTACGGGCAGCGCTGCAGAAGATGTCGTTGCAGGTCGGGGTGCAAGAAGATTCGTTTGCACAGTACTAGATTGTTGCATCTGTGATGATTGCTCAGTGTTTGTCAAGGTCTGTAAACGAGGGAATTCGTCCTCTCTAAAAGTTACATCACGGCTGTAGACAATGGCATGGGTATTTACGGCCATGAGGCGATAGCCTTTCTTGTGCTCAGGGAGACCGAGGTACATACATAAGCGTGCTCGCGCATCAGGTTTATCACGATACTGTTCTGTGATATGTGCGTAGGCACTACATCCGAATACTTTGATGTAGTCCATGGATGGTTTGCGGTTGTACCAGAGCTCATATGGCGTACGGCCGTTAGTCGTTGAGCTGGGTGTCATATTAACGAGAGTGGTCACATGACAGACACACTCCGCCCACAATTGCTTCGGCAGATTGCCATCAAGCAGTAGGGCTCGAACGCGCTCCATAATGGTTCGATTGCGTCGTTCGGCGACACCGTTCTGTTGAGGAGTGTAAGCATTCGTAAACTGCGCATGTGTTCAGTATTTCTGGAAAATCTGGCGCCCGAGTTTTTCGTACTCCTTTGCATTGTCTGCTTGCAGAACCTGAATGTCACACTTCTTAGTAGGTTGCGGATATTCAAGGACATTGACGTCGCTTCTAAAGATGTTCAGGGCTTTCTTACTGAAGTCCTCATAGCACTCATATACTTCGCTTCTATTCGTGATCGGGTACGTAAACATGTACCGAGAGTAGTCATCAACAACGATGAGAAAGTAGCGGCGTCCAGTAAGACTGGGAACAGGCATGGGACCGCAAATGTCTGTATGCACTTTTTGTAAAGGATGTTTGGCACGTTCAACACTTTTATTAGAATTAAACGGTGAGCGTTGAGACTTCGCTAATGTGCATGCAGTACAAAAGAACTGAGCTTTTGGGTCGACAGATGAGTCGTTGTCTAGACCACTAATGGCTTGGCTCCTAGATAAATCGTGCAAAATGCGTACGTTAGGATGACCGAGTCGTTTGTGTAAAAGCAGATTGGATCGTTGCTTACCTGAGGTGGCGATTAGAGCCTCATGTTTCATCACAGGTTTGGCCTGGAATTGGTACAGATCCGCATGGGTTGCCATCATTGCGTTGATCTTGAACTTCGGCTCGGTATGCACGGCGCATTGCTTGCGATCAAAGCTGAAGCGAAAATCATGTTTCACAGCCGCCGGTACCGAGAGAAGGCTGAATTTCAGCTCAGGAGCGTACAGCACATCGTGGAGGGTAAGCATCCTCTGCGTGCCTTTGGAGTCAGTGACTTCCAGCTCAATTTTGCCAATTCCTTCGATGGGGATTTGGTTCTTCACACCAACGGTGATTGAACCGTTGCTCGCGGATATGGTCGAGAACCACTGGGATTCGTGCGTAACGTGACGCGTACATCCAGAGTCGATTGTCCAGGTGGGTTCGGGGCTGGCAGTGGCTTGGGCAGTCAGGCTGATCACAGGATGCACAGTTGCTACAACAGCAATAAGCCCGACATCACGACGCTCTTGGGTGAATTCCTTGCGCTTGTCGCCAGAATTGTCTTTGGCTCGGCCCTTGTCAGATCGGTTGTCACGTCGATCACAATCACCACGGTACCCACGGTTGTTGCGTCCACCACGGTTGCTTTGGCCACGATTAGATCGCTTGTTGTTTTGGCGGTACGGGTGGTTGTGGCTCAAGTTGCCTCCCCTAAACATGAAATTCGCGGGAAGTACCGTGCCAGCTTTCACATGGCCTTCGCGTAGATCCTTTTGCAGAGAGCGACAGTGGCGAATGTTGTGGCGCGGACGCTCACAGTATGTGCACACATTAGCTCCACTAGACTGAGTCAAGTTGGGCTGAGCAACAAGAGCCCGCTCGTTCTTCGTCGTTTGACTCTCGGGCGTTCCCTTGGCTCGTGTGTAGCGCTCTTCAGCGCGGATCTCGCGGACCTTCCGTTCGATGTTGGCCTTTAGTTCTCCATACGGGATATACTTCCGTTGACCCTTCCAAACACGGAGATCATCTTTCCATGACTTGGGTAACGCATGGAACAGGTAAATTGACTTCTGTCCTTCCGTCATCATCGATTCGGTGGCTTCCGAAGTTGCGTTCATCGCCTCTTCCAGTTTAAGAAAGAAAACATCAAGGTCTCCTTCCTCCTCGTATTTTTGGTATCCATGAGGAAGTGCTGGATGAAGTACGGATCGCCATGAAAGGCTGCGCCTTCGTACTTAGAGCAGATCGCTTGGAATATCTCGAATAATGTCTTGAGATCTTTCACGAGGCGTACGTGAGTGTTGTCCATGGTTTTCATAAGAAACGCTTTGGTCCTCGCCTCTCGGCGGCGTCGCTCGCTAGGGCTGAGCGGTTTAGGCTTGCGTCGAGCCTCGTGCGTTTTAGAACGCTTCGCATCTCGGCGGTTAGGGGGACGGGTGGAGGGTTTCTTCTTCTCCTTCGTCGTCGAGTCGCTATCTCCGGATTTATCATCGGAGTCGGACGGAGGCTTCAGATCGTCGTCGCTCTCTTCGTAGTCGACGGCGTCAGAATCAATATCCTCAGCCGGCTTGGTCTTCGGCGAGTCGTCTACGTCAGACATGTCGCTTCCGCTTTCTTCGCTCTCTTCCTCGGACACCGTCGTAGTCGGTCTTCTTCACGAAGCCGAGGAGGTGTTTGCCATCGAGGGCAGCGCACACGCGGGCCTTCCAGACATCAAAGTTCTCTGCGCCAGTAAGACGCGGGAAGTCGTCGCTTGAGGCTTTGCTTGGGCTCATAACCTGTTGAGGTGAGCGGAGGGAAGCAGACGTGAAGAGTAGCGGAAAGAGAGAGAA